AAGAAGGCCAGATTGGGGGTGGGGGGGAGGAGCTTAACTGGGGAAATGGGTTTTGGAGTCAGAGACAGCGGGGTTGCCAACTGGCCTGGGGAAACATGTCCTTCCCCTTTAACAGAGCCTTAATGTGTGAACATGGGCCGTGGGAGTTTTTCATGGCATGGAGGTCAATAACATCCCTCGATTAATAATACCTTGTTGAGCCTCTACGGATAACAGCGAACCGCCTCTGCTTCTCACTTGCCTTGAAAACGCCTTGCTGGGGTGGCCATAAGCCAATTGCAACTTGACCGCCTCTCCATGTGTGTGTTTCTTAAGTGCCGTGGAGTCACTCCTGACTTATGGTGACCCTATGAATTAATGGCCTCCAGAAAATCCCTATCCTTAACAGCTTTGCTCAGGTTTTGCAAACGGAGGGCCTTTGTGGCTTCCTTGACTGAGTCCACCCATCTCCTGTTGGGTCTTCCTAACATAAGAACATAAGAGAAGCCATATTGGATCAGGCCAGTGGCCCATCCAGTCCAACCCTCTGTGTCACACAGTGACCAAAACCCAGCGGCCATCAGGAGGTCCACCAGCGGGGCCAGAACTCCAGAAGCCCTCTCCCTGTTGCCCCCCCCCCAAGCACCAAGAAGACAGAGCATCACTGCCCCAGACAGAGTGTTCCCATCTATATAGGTAAAGGTAAAGGTTCCCTTGCTCGAAAGCCAGTCGAGTCCGACTCTAGGGATGCGGTGCTCATCTCCATTTCCAAGCCGAAGAGCCAGCGCTGTCCAAAGAAATTTCCGTGGTCATGTGGCCGGCATGACTAAACACCAAGGCGCACGGAACGCTGTTACCTTCCCACCGAAGTGGTCCCTGTTTATCTACTTGCAATTTCTTGTTTTCGAACTGCTAGGTTGGCAGGAGCTGGAACTAGAGACGGGAGCTCACTCCGTCATGCGGCACACTCGGGTCTCGAACTGCTGAACTACCGACCTTCCACAGCCTGCAGTTCAGCGTCTTAACCACTTGAGCCACCGCAGCTCCTCTCCCTCTATATACCTTGCTGCTAATAGCCACTGATGGACCTCTGCTCTTAAGAACATAAGAGAAGCTGTGTTGGATCAGGCCAGTGGCCCATCCAGTCCCAATGCTTTGTGTCACACAGTGGCTGAAACCCAGGGGCCATCAGGAGGTCCACCAACAGGGCCAGAACTCCAGAAGCCCTCCCACTGTAGCCCCCTAAGCACCAAGAATACAGAGCATCATTAGTGGCCCCAGACAGGGTGTTCCATCTGGACCTTGTGGCTCATAGCCACTCATGGACCTCTGATTTGCTTCCCCCTGCTGCCTCCCAACTTTTCCTAGCATTATTGTCTTTCTCAGGAACTCTTGTCTTCTCATAATGAGTCCATAGTATGATAGCCTTAGTTGAGTCATTTTAACTTCTGGGCAGGGTTTAGGTTTGACTGGATCTAGAACCCACTGATTTCTCTGTCTGGCCATCCACAGTATTCATAAAACTCCCCTCCGACACCACATTTCAAACAAATAAGCTGCCTTCCTGTAAGCCCCTATTCAAGGGGCAGGACATGTCCCCCCAGGTCTCCTAGGAGAGAGACATCATGAAGTGATTGGGGGGGGTGGAGTTGTGCCAGAGGTAGGGATCAGAAGGTGGCGTGGAGGAGAGGCGAAGGTCGAGGAAGGCATGTTGACCAGTATGGTACAGTTAGAGGGCAAATACCTGGCCTCTTTTTAAGGGGTGGCAAAGGTTCAGCAAATCAAAAGATAATTTTTGAGATTCATGGATTCTTACAGAGTAGAAGAGACATAAGAACATCAGAACAGCCCTGCTGGATCAGACCAGTGAGGGTCCATCTAGCCCACATTCCTGAATCACACAGTGGCCTCAACCAGTTCCTCTGCAGAGCCAACAACAGGGCAGAGAGGCCAAGGCCTTC